TAAAATCATGCACTGGCATAAAACTTATTCCTGAGACTTTGCATATATTAATTCCACAGCGAGCCACTACATAAATTAAAATTAAAATCTTGTATAGAAATTAGATAATGTAAAGAGCATCATACTTAAAGTCATTTTAATGCAATAAAATTGTTTCAGTTAGCATTTATGAATCTCTATATTATGTTATGAGTTATTTCTGAACAATTGCATAGTAAACTAGCCTAAGTTTTTGCAAGAGAAACAGATAGAATGAGCAACTTAAAATGTTATCATTGAAATAAAATCCTTGTTGATCAGATTCAGGGATTTTAGCCTGTACTTTCGGATTTTTCTTTAGCAAATCTATTTTAAACTAAATAAAATCCTGCTAAAGTAATGGTTAAAGTAACTACAATTGGGATTATTACGATATAATAAAATAATTCTTGTGAGTAATTCGAATTTATTATATTTAATATTCTTAAATAAATGATACTCTGACTAAATAAAATCTTTACTAAGAACTAGATGTAATATTCACCATTAAAATTTTTGCATTAGAATGGAATAGATCATTTTTGCTCTTTGGTATGGAGATATTTTATAAAAATTCACATGATGAATTAAATTAGTATTTTAAAGCAGAAATAGATACAACATGTTTAGTTAAAATTGTTTTCTTATACGTTATTAGATTAACAGTTTCTGAATTTTTATACTGTTTTATAGGTTGTTGCGAGACAAATCACATATAAAACTAAATTAAAATCTTAAAGAAGAAGTAGATTCACGATAAGCGATTAAAATCAGCGTATTATTATATCATTAATAACAAAATCTTTCCATTTAGTAATCCCAGATTCTTACTCGAAATTGTCAGTTTTTGATAATAAATCTCATGATAAAGTAATTAAATCTTACGGAAAATTAGATGCTGCAGATATGACTAAAATTATTGTAATCTATTAGAATTGCTCGTTCGGCCTTCATTGATCTTCATGCACTACCCAAATTGTTTTATTTGACATTCATGGAATATTTGTGGAGATCACTATTGAGCAAACTAGAAATTATAGTAAAAAGGGAATATTGCCATAACCGATTGACAAAAATGTGTGATTTTATTCACTCAAGGTTATTATGATTTTTAATTAGTTGTACTAACCTTGGCTGGATTCTGTAGGAACTAACTAGATCTAATTCCAAATTTCCTCACATCAACCAGTTGAAAATCTTTAATTTGATTTACAGCAGGTTATCGTAATTTTAGAATTAATACCTCATAATTAACATCGATGTGATTCTAAAGAAATTTTGTAATAAAAGAGTAGTTTCTAGAATACTCCTGTAAAATTTTTGATTGTAGTAGGCATTGTTGTTTAACCGCGACTAATTTAGTTAGGTATTTGTAGTAATTGCTTTTTAGCAACTGAGTATGTGGCGAAGGAGATTCGTATATCTGGGCTATGATTTAATCATATTAGATGGCACAATTATTTTAATTATTATACATTGGATAATGTCAGATAACTGATATATTTAGCATAATATTTGAGCATTAATTATGATAAAATTTGTGGTGAGCTTTGCTCTTAATAAAAGCCAGTTTTATTATAAATTAAAGTACAAGTTATTTTTATTTTTCATTAGGCACTGCATAAACCTGAATAATTGAACAATGCTCTGATTTAAGGATGCTGGGCTGTCTTAGTAATTTTAGTTGTATGCTGTATACCGTAGATAGACTCTATTTATGGTAAAGTTATGCTTATATTATTAATAATTTAGTAATGCTGAGAATCTAAAGTTTATTTCAAGGCTTAATTATTTAAAATCTTAATCAAAATTTTTAATTTAATAGGTCGTAGTTGAAGATAGTATAAAGCGAGTAAAGACTTAATTTTTCTATGCCGGTGCAGCGTTAGCGCATACTTAAATATAGTTACTTAGTTAAATTAAGCTTTAAAATTTATGCTACTACATTGATAATTGGTTTATACGCTGCAATAGATTAATATCATTAAATAACACTTACCTTTAACATTAAGTTAACATTAGTTTCATAAATGATGGAGAGTAAATTTATGAACTTAAATTAAAAACTAAAATTTGGACATATGACCTTTGACAAAACTCTATTAGAATTTGAAAACTTCGATGAAATGAATTAATTGTTGATTACAAGAAAAAGTTTTAAATTAGTTAGTAAAAAATACATGCCTTGCGACATTATGAATAATGATGCTCTATATATATATACACATACAGAGTTGTTTATTGTCCTAAATTTCAGTGTAGATATAGGAATCAAGTATGCAAACAAATCATAAATAGAACGAAGACTAGTTGGAATCATAGTCGATAGCTCTTTGCACATCTTGCTTCTCTATTATATTCTCCCGGCTATATCGGTCTGATATTAAACATTCGCTATCATGGAGTATATTGCTGCTACATGTACTGCTAAGACTCCTTGTTAACTCTTGTGGCCGAATATTAGGTGTCTTACAATTGCTGACTTGGTTGAAATGACTAGCAAACTCTATGAAATTCTTATCTTCGATGGGATATTCGCCGATCTCAACTGAACATTCCTCATCGTTTTGAGTTAAATTAACTGCCAGGGGATTAGCTTTGATCTACACAATAATAAAATGGTAGGATAGGTTAGGTTTAGTGTTTAATCTTATGTCGATATGAGCAATTAGATATTGCTAGAGACTTTCATTAATTTTTACTTACTTCCATTACAGAAGCTTGTTTATATCCTTGACAGGTATATTTATGAGCGAGAGGTACGCCTTGTATCGCTATCATTAAAATTAACAGTTAATTTAATGACATTACAGATTATTTTAAGACGCTAACTTACGAGTTTCAATGGCCTGCTCAGCCTTGATAAACCTAAAAATAAGATAGTCAGCAAAGTCAGCAAATTAAAACTTGTGCAGATTACACCTATATGGCAAAGAGCTGGTTTTCCAAAATGAGACATGCTTAGTAAAGTGCTATATAAAATTTAAATTTACTATAATATTATTGTGGAATAGTATATATATTTTGTATTAAATCTCTCTATTTTGTAACGCTGCAACTGTAGATTGTTGGGATTATTTGGGGTGCGATAAATAGACTTGAAACTACTTTTAATTAATATTGTGAGACTAATATATTCTAACGATTGGATTTAATCTAACTAGATAAAGAGAAAGTTTGTTTTACAATGTTTCCTTTACACAATTAATTTTAATTTATCGCTATTTATGTAGAATAAAATTTGTTGATGCAGAAAAGAAGAACTTACATTGTGGAGTTTATATATAACCCTGCTTTAGAGGGTCGGTGACACCTGCAATTCATGAAGAAATAGATATTAGCTTGATACAACTGCAGATGAGAGACATTGCTAGAAATAGAGTTGAATTAAGTATAAATAGCATTATTCTATTAATTAATTGTATCATCCATGTTTATACGGTATGACATACTTATAGTAGCATAGGCTCATGAAAATAATTACTGAGCATCCGCAAAATGCAATAATTGCTGCTGTAAAGTCTATATGATGAAAAATTGGTAATTATTATAATCTTTAAATTACTTCCAGCATCGATAATTATACAACGTATAGATGAGTAGGTTTATGTGGCATAAGTCAAGTATGAAGAGATTTATTACAGGGCATAATTTGAGCTCGTAGGCTTGGTAGAGTTGTTTGAGTCCAAGAATGCTGAGATATGATTCTACTTGTCGTATTTTTTATAGCAGTTGTGCTGGAATTTGGATTCCCGGTAGTAATTATAATTTCACTTGTTGTTTCTGCAACAGTACCGAAAGTTGGTGTTGGCGTTGCTATTGGAAAGGCTCTTGCTGTAGTTGTAGGCGTTTTATCGATGACTGTTGCTTTGGCTAATACTAGCTCAAACTCCGACCCAACAGTTTCGTTGAGGTATTTCCATGATCGATCTTGAATTGCAACGATCGGGCAATTAAGGACATATGTTTGATTTCTCAAGGCATCCGCGGATGATCTTAATGTAAATAGCAGATTATCCCTACCAGTAATTTCAACTGTATTTAATTTCCCATCTTTACTCTTCTGCAGAACGATGATATTATCAGCTACAGGTTGATACAACTGGCTATCGTTCTTTAATTAACAATTGATAAAAAGATAAATTAATAATAATCAGCACTGTTAAATTCCATTAGATAGTAAAAATGAAAAATAATCCCATCTTTCTTGCCTGGGGGTATTTTACAGTAATAAATAAGCATAATATCCTGAGAATCTTAATAGTAATAATTTTAAGTCTATGCGTATCTGTCGTGTCAGCGTCAATAATAATTACACTGTTCTAAATTGTAAAGGAGATAATTATGCATAATTCTATATTTACTTTGTATAGCTTATAATTATCGACGGCAGGTTTATTGATCATTACCATTAAATAGGAATTTGTATGCTTTTCTTAGCTATATGGTAGATATTTAGAGTTGCTATATGAACTTAACATAGTGATTAGACTGCTAAATAAAGATAGTTGTAATGTAACTTAGTATTGTGATTGTAGACTGTTAGCCATGTGTAGTATAATGTACGGTAGATATTTATCCTAAGAGATATTTGGTAGCTGTAACTATAGACTGTAGTGGTAGAGACTCTATGCTAGAGTACAGATGACTATATACAGTAAGCTGTTGAGTTACTAATATGGCTGTAGGTAAAAATAGAACTGTAAATCATATATTAGGATATGGTTAATTCATTGTACTTTGGCTGGTGTGAATAATGTCTATGTAAGTACTGTAGTCGTATCCATATTGGATTAATGATGGTCCGCAGTAGAATAGTCTTACTAAGAATAATTTAACTATGTGTAATATAAGGTAAAAGGTTGCCATGCGGATTGTAGCTGCGAATGCTACGGAAAGTATAAAAGCATGCAACTTTAGATTATTCTGTTAGTTCGTTGTAGAAGTCTTTAGAAGTAGTATTCGGCTAGAGTAGAGCTGTGTAGTTAATCTTTGTATAAGATTGAATAAAGCCCTTATTTTTCTAAAATTTGGAATTTCGTGATTGGTATATATCACAATAGTATACAGCATTCTAGCATATTATTTCTAGTACATTTTCCTTCATAATCAAGTATTCAGTATCGGTATATTGTAATACATGGATTGAATGGAGATCATTTCGCTTAGCATTTGTGTTACTATAGTAGCTGTTCATGGAGGATCAAAAGAACAGCTTAAATTTATTCTATCTTCATTTTTGGAGATTGGTTTTGTAGTAGCGTACTCATGGGTATAAATTGAGGAAAAGTATAGTAGCTGCTTACAACTGCGAATTTTGAAGACGAGCAGAAGGGCTATCTCGCTATTTCTTGTAACGTATTAAAACGATTTATTGCTACCTGTACAATGTTCTGAAATGGTAGCAATTGATAGTCTGTGCATATAACGATATTTACTAAGAGCTATAAATTTTTATGTCTAAAGGTAGGTAAATAATGACTAGATAGCATAGGGTAGGGAAGAAAGCAAGGTTACATTTCAATATGTCCTAAAGGCGGCCTAAAATACTACTTGAAGCCTATTCCTTCCTAATTAATACCTAAATAATATCGTTCTACTATCCCAAATTAGCCAACAAGATCCATTTTAAAACTGAATAATTAATAAACATGCCTTTGTATTCCTACATTCGTACTCATTTAGCATTCCGGTACAAGAAATATCTGTAATTGTTTTGCAAGCTATAATAAATAAAACAAGCCAAAAGTTAGTTGAGATTATCAAATCATGCTCATGCGGTCTATTGATCAACAGACAGAGTTAGAATCGTTAGCTGTATAACACTATTACACTCCATTTACATGCCATTCATTGAAGTAAATGAGCTAAAATGAAATTAATCTCGATTATATTATGATTATAAATTTTACTTTACTTATACTGCTTTAATTACAAATTAGTACGGTATGAATTGTTGCAACTTTTATATCCATGGAATATTGAATCTATTTTAGCATGCTATTAAAATCAAAGCGATTTCTAATCAATTACTATGTTCTTGGAATACACTAGCTATTAGATAAATATCTCGTAAATTTTACTATATTTCAAGTATCTATTTGAGTAGACTTTTGAAATAATTACCTCCAGTACTATCCCAGTAGATAGGAGAGGATGGACCGCTGACTTCGGATTTACTGTAAAGCGCATAACCTCGCAATTGTAGAAAAGATAATTTCCGTAGTTTAATCTTACATCTACAGCTTAAAATACTTTGTTTGCATGAAGTCAAGTCTTCTGCAGTTACATCGGTGACGTTCTTAAAAATAATAAAAAGCAGAAATTAAAATTAGATAGTCTTTGACGGTCAAATTTAGAATCCTGTTTAGTGTCATTTTAGTCCAAAATCATACTTTAGTAGCGCGACAGCTACATCAAGCATTCTCCTATCAGTTCCGTTAATACTTTACATAAGCGGTATTAAAGGTAGAATTTGCAATTATTATGAGTTAGGATAGTAGGCTACTAATGTAATGGCAATTCGTTTTTGGACTATGACAAGATCTCAGTAACGCTAACTGTCAAATATTCCAATTTTAAGAAATTTCTTATGGATACAAAGCAAATTAATATGGGCAACTCCCAAAGAGCTTAAGATTAAGATTATATGGTTATAAGATTATATTAAATAGTTCAACTTGCTGATTAGACTGTCAAATTTTACAAGTTTCTACTTGTAGATAGTATTCACAATTCGTATTGACAAGATATTTTACAATAAGGCTCGTAAAAATCTACGTAATCAATTGTATATATATATACAAATTGTAAATTTGGTTGTAAACAGTTAGACAATTCTGGACCGAAGAAGTAAAGATTGATAGTTCTTGATATTTTTATGCAAGGAGCAGTTTATATAAAAGATTTTGTGAGAAATTAAAAAGGCTTTGCTTTGATCTTTAAAGCACTTTGTCATAATCAATGGGAAATACTATCCCTAAATTCTACGTATTGTAATTGAAAAATATGAGAAACATTGTAATGTTGATACATAAAATATAAAATAGATACTCGGTATATGCTATATAGGGAAGATTAAAATAGAGCATACTGCAAGTATGGTCCGTTTCCGAAATAAGGTCAATTTAATCCATTTTATTTAAATTATCTTAATGATTTAAAAGCATAGGCATTTCTCGTTAGATCTCTTGCATGGATAAATGATGAAATAAATAATTTGTTCAGACTATTCTGTAATAGGCAATATTGTAAGAGAAAATAATCAATTTTATACGACTTATAGTTCGTTAAGTCGACTTTGTTAGTTTATCATCTTTATTGAGATGAATAACTCTGCAAAGTGAGCATACTATTGATTTATTTTTCCTTAGTACTAATTGACGATTAGAAAGTTGCAGTGATGCTCCTTCATATTTAATTGGAGTAATAGTAGAATTATTTAGCATAGTTAGGTTGTAAGAATAGATATTATCGTGATATTAATATTAGGTGATAGTTAATTTCTACGGCATATTACAATTATTGATTAGGAATATTAGTCAGCTAGCTAAGTATGGTAAATAGATCAATATGACTGTATGTACTGTAATTATGAAGATGGCCAGCACCTTTACGGGTGTTGGATATTAATAGAAGAGTAGTGATATATTGTGCAGATTCCATTGTACAGAAAAAGATATTGATGATCTCTTAGGGGAAAAGTCTTCTTTTTGTTGATTCAAGTCTGATCTTTGGCAATTTTATCCTCGTAAATAGATTAAACAAAATGTATTTAAGAACTACAAAGTTGAGCTTGGAGTACACTTAACTTCACTTCTTTTAGGCTTAGGATAATTTAGATTAGATTCTTGTTCGAGTTAATTATTGTGCTACTTACTATTCTCAACTCTGCAACAAAAGCCTTTTCTAAAATCTATCTTCCTGAGATAATGGTTTGGTTAGAAGTTAGATTAGTTTAGATGGAACAGTTAAGAGATACTTTTATTACAGTAGCGTAACTATCTCTTATACGAGAGATGATAGCTAAAGTTTAAGCAAGCTTTAAAGCTGTAGTTGTCAATAGTACTTATAACTTAGTTAGTCTATCTAGCTATGACTATGCAATAGGAAAGATGAAGAACTGTATGATATAGAACGGATTAATTGAATCTCGACATTCCTTTAACAATAGCGTTTTTCTACCCCCTATAAAATGTAATATATATTCCATAAGAACTCTGAATTCCTATTGCATATCCAGTAATAGTACAGTGATATTGTTCCTAAACTACCGTAAGAAATAGCTAACCCTACACGACCTGAAATTCATTCGGTCTTGCTTGAAATTAATGCACTAGAGAAGTCAGAAAAGAAATTATAATTATATTATATAATATATAAAGAATTGGTATTTGTGTGTCTTGTTGAATGGATTACCAGTAACGAAAATGAATTGCAAAACTTTTTGATTGACGATAGAATGGCAAAAAATGGAGTAGATTATTTTGATAAAATGAAAAAATAACTCAGTTATCAATGAGTTGTTGGTAGCATGATTCCTGGTTCTAATGCTTATTGTGAATGACTATCATGAAAATCAATATCGGCGAATGGTATGAATTAGTAACGAGGAATCATTTCATTACGAGGAAAACTAAATTGCCGAAGTTCTCTTTAGTTCTGCAATTAAAAAGATATGACATGACATTTTTTTCCTTTAACTACTAAGCAGTTGTGACTGCCTTGACGGTAAGAATGGAACTTGAAGTAGGCAAGACGATTTGTAATTAGGGAATAATCATTCCTTCAAAATTATCATAGATTATTCAATAGTAGTAGAGAGGTATCAGAGATGACTAAAATTACCTGGCAGAAGGATGATAATAAAAGACAACTACGGCATGGGATCACTAATTTTTTTCCTTTCGCATCAGTGATCATGATTATTGGATTTAAATAGTTCTGCCGTTGTTAATACTAGCATTATTTTAACCATAGTAATCTTACCTTACTCTTGTTTGCAGCTAGATTGATTGATTTTATCTTTACCCGGCAGGTTAATTTATTATCAATTAAGTTGTAAGTCCAGGAACTGGAATCCATCAGTACTTGAGCTCCTTCTTTACTTAAGTCGGCTTTAATTCTTATTCTTCTGGGAGCATTTGGTATTGCTAGAGAATGAAACGGTGTTTTAGAATAGAATCATATGTCCAATATCGATTAATCGATAGCATAGATCATCATTTACATTGCTTTGAAGATCATGACTTATTCTTTCGTGATGTACTAAGCTTAAGGTGGACTGACTGATCGATTCGATTCATTTTTGTTGCTTAAAAAAGGCAGTGAAATTTGAACCTTAGTCAGTGGAGAATACTATTACTGGTGATTAGTTGAATCAGTTAAGCATCCGGTATTCTTTAGTAAGTACTATGAAATACTATATTGCTTAAATGAATGTTGGTATCCTATCCATACTGTAACAATTACAAGTTTTATCTACTAAAATGAAATGATATGAAGACTTTAAAACACGGTAGACTGACCAAAATTTAGTTCCAGTAAGAAAATCTCATCAATATTACTACAATTTTAAGTTCTATTAACTAAGCAATAGTGCTGGAAAGATTATAGAACACTATAGAATGGTCCAAGTTTAGTTCTAGTAAGGAAATAGCGTTAATATGATAATAATTTCAAGTTCTATCAACTCAATAGAAAAGATATGGTTTTTTTCAACGCACTTTACTAGTTCAAATGTAATTATTAAAGGAAGAACATCATGTCATAAATCTAACCATTTCAATTCCTGTTTACCAAACTAAAATGACGAGATTAGTTTGATACTGCAACTATTTCAAGTTCTACCAACTTAAATGAAGGGATAGTGAGACTTTAGAATACATTAAATTAGTTAAAATTTTAATTAAAATCAGTAAGTCATGTTAATGTTGGTATAATTTTCCTTTTTAGAGTGAAGTGAGCAGAAGACTTGATGACACTCTTAACTATTGCAACCAATTCGACTTCTATCAAGTAGAGTTAAATGATGAAAAGGTTTTGTAATACACTAAACTGATTCTATTTTGAGCTAGAAAATCACGCCGATACTGCAACTATTTCAAGTTGTATTTGCTAAAGTGGTAGTGCTAGTGAAGACTGGGCAATATACCAGTATCAAAGTGGATCAAATTCAGTTAAAATGAGTAAGTAATAGTCTCATTTACCGTAGTCCTTGGTTCTCCAGGAAAAAAAACGGACGTAAGGATTAACATCTACATATTCCACTCCCTTACTTTGATTACTCGCTAGAACATCACCTTGAATTATGCTAGTTAGATTGACCTTCATTTTTAAACAGGTATAAAAGCTAAAAATGATGAAGCTATAGTGTATTTCTCCATATGGAAGGTTGTAGAGAAAAGGATTGCTCTTGGTTTTGTCCCTAAAGTTGACTTGACCAGTTTGGCAATTGGAGGAAAACCACTGATAAGATATGAGATGTTTAGCGTGATTTAAATTTTCTGGATTAATGTTGGCTGCAAATGGAATTATAATTGTCGCTTGATTACCAATAATTGTAACGGTAGCATTTCCAATGCCATAGGGAATGTTATCTATCGTTTAAAGCACCCATATAGAGTGCAATTAAATAAAATTGGATTAGATACGATCAGTTTACCTTGCAATTGATAAATCAATCGTTCTATAATATCGATTAAGAATATTATCAGAATCCCTAAGTGATTATTATGCTAAGATAATGTGGGTTGGATTAGATAGCAAAAGGTCATCTTGTAATTAACAAATCAATCATTAAATAATATCAAAATGAGAGCATTATCAAATCCTTGAGCGATTATCATACTAAGATAATTTGAATTAGACAAGATTACCTTGCGATCGACGAATCGATATCGTGGAATAGTATGAAATGGGAGTGTTAGTAAAATCCTAGAACGACTATCATGCTAGGATAATGTATAGCTAATATGATTACTGTTGTATCGGAGTCGAATGATTTCCTATTTAGCTGATCAATTCTCTATGCTAAACGCTATACAAAAAAGTAACGCTAACCTCAAGCAGAATGCCTATTATACTGTAAATAAAGCATAATTAACCTGAGAAAGAATAAAACCATTCATATTTAATCGTAGTTTTCAATAACTTGTTGTTACACATACATTGATTATGAAGAGAATAGAGAGAAATAGTAAATCCTTGTTGACCATGTAAATAGGTCACGATCGATAGTGAAGACGAAGATATCCCTAGACTCAACTTTATTTAAGTCAATATTATTTTAAAAAAAGTAATTGATATGAATATAAAAATTGAGGAAAACATTTTGTTGTTACTAAGCAATTGATGTTGAAAATAATCTGTTTGCGTCTTTTATTAAATGGACAATACTTCTGACACAAATAGCCTTTACGATCGTAGTTTAAATAGCGTCCTTTTCATTTAAAGATTTAAAGATTATTTTTTTACCTGTTTGAGGATTAGTTGCCATACATTGTTGAAATGATAGATTGAATATGATGGATAAGTTTAATAATATCCTAGATAAATGGATAAATTTATTTGCTTGTTGTTTGGGTGGTTTACGTAAATTTTGCATGATGGCCTTCAACTATTTGTTAATGTAATGAGTGAATTTTGAAAAAAATTGGATTTTTAGCCTAATCCTAGTAACGAAGAACAAAGAGGGCGCCCTACGGTTAATAATTACCATTTATTGATAAATGCTTTGAATTTGTTGAAAGAAATCACAAACATTTGTTGTACTAACAGAGTAATTGGGCGTTGCTACAACTATGGCCTTGAAAAATCGAAATAATAAATTCGAATAAAATAGTAGCCAGTTATTTCAATGATACAAGCAAGCATGAAGAGAAGAGCATGAATAGGATGCTTTAATGCAAGAAATGTTGATTTTTCCTTGAATGAAGCAATTGAAATACTTTGGCTTAAAATAGTGAAATTGGTTGTAATCGATTGCAATAGTAAAACAGCAAGCTTGTAAACTAGATATCCCACATCATGAAATAATAGCAACTATTTATAATTCAATGAATAATAAAATATTCTACAAGACTGGATATAGTGTTATACACAGGTCTTTTTATTTGCCTTGCTATTCCTTGTTCTTTTTTTAAAGATTAACACGATTGTTTATTGATTAATCCAAGGTAATAATTTTTCAATTAGATTGCTGTGAGTAGTTAATGAGATGATATTATCATGATATTATCATGAAAGAGTCGAGTTTCGGTGAAAACATAAATAAAGTAATTCGAAAAGTTAACAACAACAAACTGGATCCAGAGCTAATCCAAAACTGATAGATTTGCAAAGTGAAATAAGAATAAAACTCATTCAAACTTTTCGGTCTTCCTAATTTCCTTTCTTAACTTTCAAAGAACTTAAGCATTATCTATTTAGTGAGGTAGTACACCAGTACAAATTGCTGATTTAAGACAATGATACTATTTAAGGAACTATATCTAAATATTACTATCCAAACTAACGTAAGCCATGTTTTTTACCTTTAAATTAAGGGCGTTGCATGCTTATATTAAGATGGATCATGGTCTAATATCAGAAGAGGAAAGATGATAAACCGATACCTTATTCGTTATAGAATGTAATAGAATCTAATCATTTTTAAAATCGGCAACATTACAATAGCAAGTTGTGAGGAGAGGATAAAAACAACTATGATAGTTGTAGAATTGATTTCCTTATTAATTATCATATGATTGACAATATAAATAATCAATCGCTGTCTAAGTTTTGAAAATTTTATGCACATTATAGCCATCGGTAGATTTTCCATGGAATAAATCCATCATATTTCAAACCATATTTCAATATATGTGATGTAGAATAAGATGTTTATTCAGCATTTTCAACATAAACGAAACTATGGTATGTTCGTAAAGCGACATCTAATAATAGTATAAATTATCGTTGAAGGCATAAAGGTTACGATTTAATAATAATAATTCAACATTTGTATTTTAAAAAGTTCTTCTCGAAAGTATTCATAAGGAATAATTTCTTCCCGGTAGATTAGGTCATTAAATCCAGGTGATACGTTTATATCTATAAGGTACTCGTCGGTACTATGTTTCCAATACTCTGTCGGTCTTATTAATATCTAGATTTTAATATGGCCAATAATAGAATATGTCTCATTTATTTATCCGATATTCAGCAATTCTAACGCTAACATGCTAATAAGTATCAGTATACAGCTGGAAATGTCTCAGCGTAGAGCTCTTGCCTGAATCATAACCATGTACCTTTCTCCTGATAGAAAAATTGTCAATCATGCTTTAACTTTCATGAAATCATTACTTCAAAATAAATCATTCGAGTGAGGATCGAATGTGATGTTAAGCTCACACAAGATATAACTGTGATGTAAATGTAAATTTGATGTATATTGATTTATTTGTAAGGTGCGAAGATAACCTCAGAAGTGCTAATTATAATTTAATCGTTCAGCAGGCAGGGTATAGAGCCATCTTAATGCAGCATGCTGACTCTTTATTCCTTTTATAACATCACAACTATCGTCAAAGCATACTGTGCATTTTTTGACATACTTAGAACTAAAATGAGCATAGTTGTAGAATAAGAGTACGAAATTTATTCTACTCACTTTACTTAACATATAGATTACAACAACAGTTTTATATTAACAAGTTTTATTACTGATTCTCTAGCGTTTGAGATACTACATAAAAAATTAAAAAGCTCTGGTGGGCAAGAGGAAACTTCTTGCATTAGTAGATTTTAGAAATAAAATGACTAAAAAACAGCAGCATATTCTACAGAAAACATTACTATTTCAATGCATTACTTAAAGATTACGAATTACCGGTATTTTAAATGTAAAATTTTGGTAAAGTGTTTAAATTGCAAGTAATATTGTGGCAATGAAGTTCTGAAAATATAAAACAAAAGCTTATAATTCTCGTGGATATAAATATCTGTCAATCTTCTCGATTATGAATCAATGAGAAATATTTCTAACTTTAAATTTTCATTGCATAAATGAGTTAAATCTAGGGAATGCAATGAATTGCCGTTCTGTAACTGATTACTTATTTCCTAGCTCGTGGAAAATGTAAAGCTTTTGCTGCTCGATTCCGAAACTATGAAAAAATTAACGAAAGCGATGTTATTTGTTTACTGGTAACAGGAATAGGATTTGAATCGCTTAGTATTGTAAAGTTTTTGTAGTCCTTTCTGGTATTTTAGTAACTATTAACAACAGTTAGCGAACTTTATTCAAATCTGTATAAGGCCGAAAAAGATAATCTTAAAAATGGATATAATGCTTTCAGAATCGCCGACCAGAATTTTAATCAATATCAATCAGAACTTGGCTTTAGTTAATTGCACCTTAATTAAAATGACCTTGAAATAACTAATGCAGCTCTTAAAAAATGATTTGCTAGAATTAATACTACTATGTACTTGGCATATTAGGAAGTTAGTTTAGGTTACTTAGGCTACTCTCCTCACAAAATAGATATCAAATATATTAAAATATCAGCATAGCTTCCTTATTGATTTTATTTCGTATGATGAACGAATGTATGGGCACTAGTGACAATACTGTACTCGCATGACTTTAGAGCCTTGCTAACAAGCAGAAACATAACATAAAGTCCACAACTTTAGCTGATGGGTTTGCTAAGCTAAGCTTAGACCTTGAACTTGCCCATTTCTAGTAACTATGAATGGGGAATAAGTTAACTTTGATTAATTATACGTAACTGAAAATGATTCTGCATCAATGAGTGCAATACTTGCTGGTATTACAATTAACTGTCCTGAGGAATAAGTTAGCATTGATTACTTATAAACAGAAAAAAAATATTAGAAATTTTAATAGATATGTTTACGAAAAGGCTAAAAAAGATGACTGATATCAATGGAATGTTAGAAGTTGCTTTACTAGAATCGTTGAGATGTAAAATTGGCTAACTTATCGTACTGATAGACTGGATGACCAGTACGTTCATGTAAATAGCAGCAATAAATCTCTATTCCTAACTCTATGTGTAGACTATCCTTTTCTGTATCAATTTAAGGAAATAGTTGGAAGAATGGTTTATTGGACAACAATTCGATCATTATATATGTGAAGTTTTCTAGATTAGATTTAAATTCAACACTAATATCCAGCTCACAACCATCATAAGTTGGCTAACTTTAGCTGATTGGACGTAAATTCAAAACTAGTGTTCAAGCTTGCAATCATTAGAGAATGCTAACTTTTCGTTGATTATCTTCAAACTTTAAACAATCTTGAACCAGCTAGTAAAATGTTTGGAAATTGCCTGCTAATATTCATATAAATATCCATAAGAAATAAATTAACTTGGTTTGAAACTATGTCAAACAGAAAATGATTTTAAGTCGACTGATCTAGTTTCCATACAGTTAGTTGCCAGTATATTAGTCAGGATTCTTAAGTAGTAGGCTAAATTTAAGCAATTGCTGTTGACTTAAAAATGTTTTTCTTCAACTGATCTAGTGTTAGGAAAATTAATTGATAGCATTCCTATTATCATTAGTGGAAAATTACGTTAACTTTATTTCAATACATAAAAGAAAAAATAAAGATCAAAATCCAACAAGTACAGCGTTTACAAAGTACTTGTTAGAGTCAATGGTTTCTTGAATAAATTATATAAAAAATGATATTCTTAATCCAATCTAATACCTACTGTACACTTTGAGCAATTTAAAAAACTACTCATATCTTTACTCTTGCTTATTATAGATATTCCAGTCAACGGAGAGCAAATAGTATTTAATAAATGTAAGGATGCTGCCCGTATTCAAACTGAAAAGATTTCAAAAGCTGATAGCAATTACATTAATTTTCATACTGCATTTTCAAAAAAACATAAAGAAAAGATATAACTTCAAGTCAAAGCTATAACTAATTAAAATCAAAATCATAAATATCTTTGTGGTGAATTGGAACTACATATAGATAATAAAATCAAAACTTCTTGCCTCATAGTTGAATTGTTACTATCATAACATTGATTAGTTAATTAATGAAATCACATTAATGTGGAGAAAAGAAGTCGATATTCATATATAACTTAATGTCTACGCAGGATCAATGCATAAAATGTTGTAAAATGGGTTTGAATGTTCTATATTAATAAACAAGCCCTTAATCAGACTATAGTTTCTTTATATTGACTATAGGTACTGATATCTTCGATGGCAGAACGTTGGATACAATGACACTCACAGCCGCAAAAGATATTCTTCATAGTCGCCTTCCGTTGTTTTACCAGATTTCTTATATAAGGCGTGATGAGTAATACATTGCGGACATCCTAAAGACTGGTTCGTGGTAGTAATATTTTCACCATCGCCATGGAGGTTATTCTCTGGATGATTATTTAACATCTACGGGGACACATTGACAGTTATTGGAAAAGCCGGAATAAACATGAATTTAAGGATCAAATAATGAAATATATGAAAACTAAAGATAATCTATTTAATAGCAAACGCTATATTTGTACATTGATGTCAACACTGAGCTATTGAATAAATTTTCTAAATTAATGAATATTAAATAAAAGAACTAATACAGGTGAGGAAATGACGCATAGGATTGGATTTAGAAATGATAGTTGATGATATGTTAATAAGTATTTATAATCCGATCTAATGGCATTGATAATAAGAAAAATGAGATGATCCGTAAGAGTAAAGATCTTCTACTTACTGTTGGACGACCTAGAATATCAAAATGAATGGAAAATACAATTTAAAATATGCCCCCTTCTTACATTGGACTTATAGTATTCATTTATGAGAAGAATATGAAGGAAATGTGAGTATGTACCAACTGACTTACCATAATTATCCATTGCATCCGGATCTATGTGATTATTGGCATGTCCATAATCTGCGGTATTTGGAAAATTTTCTGTTGGTGGCCTACCCGTTTGCTATGCAAGAAGTAATATTCATTTATTACTACATCAATATAAAGGATACTCACAATAGTTATGGCAATAAGTTAAAGAGTATTAATTATTAATTATATTAAGCGAAAAGCGAGGTTAATTTCAATGTTTATTGTTTGTATCAAGGTTTCTCTTACTCCTAGACTCAAATCGCTCTCAGAGACTTGCGGTTCATTTGGTGATACTATTAAGGTTTAATTGTCAAATTTACTTCAACTTCTTAAGAAAGATAACAAGGTATTAAAATTTTGCTGCGGCTAACTTACCAGGCTGTATGGGAAAGAATGGAGGCCTATAAGAAAATATAATAAAAAAATATGGATTAATTTGATCAATATTTGCTGTTCATAGTTATTGAAAAGTAGTCTATACTTGTCCGAGGATATTGAATTGTAAATTCGGAAACAAAATTATTCACATTTGTCTATCTGATCTAAGTTACTTATTTATGACGTAATACTTAATTTCGATAGTTATTGAAAATAAGTCTAAACTTATCCCAAGATATTAAATCGTAAATTTTTGAAGCAAAATTTATTATGTAAGTTATTGATTTATGACATAACTGTTTATTTTGAAAGCTATTGAAAAGTAGTGTAAAATTGTCCGAAGATATTGAACTAAGATGAAATACAATTGTTTAAATTCACTTAAAATATCTAAGTTAGTCATGTATGACATTAGCCATGATTTTGAGAGTTATTGAAAGTAGTCTTTAATCATCTGAAGATATTAAATTATAAATTCGAAGGTGAAATTATTTAAATTCTGTTAAATTATCCTAGCTAGTCATTTATGACATGATTACAAGCATGGTGAATTAATGATGCGATTAAATTGGTATATCTTTGGCAACGGCTGATGCATAAAAATGCTAGAATAGCAACGGACGGAATTTGTCAGGGTACTGCCATTAGCTATAACTTCTAATTGATTTCAGGAAATTCCAAATATAGATTCGAGATGCAAGAGTGTTATCAATTAGCAAAATGATGTATGGTAATATTGCAAGTACAAGGAATTATTACTTGCAATCATCTTTTAGGATGGAAGTTTTAGGATAATTTCTAATCCTAAAACTTCCATCCTAAAACATGATTGCAAGTAGTAATTCCTTGTACTTGCAATGTTACCATAGATCATTTTGCTAATTGATAGAAATTGGAAGAGATGCTGAAAAAAATTGATTAAACCTTCGTGGTTACTACTGCAACTGTCATTTATAAAGAATACTAATCAATTGTAACGATTTAAGGGGATAACGCAAAATTTTCTAGCAGGAATTAAGGGAGCTAGACAGCAGCGAAATTGAAAATTGCAAGAAGTATTGCTAAGAATTAATGTAACCTTCTTGACTACTACTGTGACTGTTATTACTACTGAAGACCTGTTAAATAACTGAAACAATTTAAATAGAAATCTAGTAATCTTAGCTTTAAGATTCAAAAAGTTTTGTTATCATCTAATTACGATACCTCGGGACAAGAGCACTAATGGCGTATACATCGTAGCAGTATATCGGAATAAATTATTTTTCTAAATTTCCCTTCAGACACACACTGATGGAAAAATTTATCACTAATTAATTCATACGATAATGATTTGAAACTTAATTAATTATTGATCAATTCTTTGACAGGGTAATTCAGTTTAATATAAGGTTATAGCTATTAATGAATTTGGTATAATTCTTTATAGATGATAAACTTACGTCGGTTCCGGAATTGGTTTTGGGGATTTACTGAATAAAAGTAACGAATTAAGATTATTAGGATGGGCACTTATGTTAATACCTGGTTTTATCAGCATATAGTTTATCAAAAGCAATAATTTTTTAAGCTATCGAGTTATTGCGCTACAATTGTATATATATAATATATATTGCATTTACCTACGACATATATATACCAGTACCAATATGACTATAATACTTAGAGGGGCTAAAATCGCTGCAAAAATATCTAGTAGTGAACATAGTGAAATAATCAATTATAATATGAAGAGTGATTATAACGAATTTTAGAGGTGACTAAGTGCTAGTAGACTTACACTTTATCTGGTCCGTTTGAGCATCAGATTTTGGGGTAGTATCCGATAATATACTCGTTAACTTGGCTGATGTTGTTTTATTCGAATAGCCATCAGTTGTACTAGGGGATTTAGATGTAGGTAGTATGGAAATAACCAGTTTAGCAGGTTGTAAATTAATGATGGATCCTTTTGTTGGATCTTGATATTTGGAAGTGGCATTGCTATTAAAGACATCACTAGGGCAGCGAATAGCTATCGTTTCATTTGTTGTGCCATCAGGCAGCATAGGTAAGTAAAACTGCCGATCATCCTGATCAATAACTTCAATAATTTTTAAATCTTCATCGCCATATTTCTGTAGTATTATTGTTTTATCTTCTGGTGAAGAAGTATTACTGTGACCATCCTGTGTACATTGAAAAGAGATTATCGATAATGAAATTAAACTATTTATTTTAGTTTTTAAGTCCACCAATTGCATAACTATGACAATAAAATACAATAATTTGATTTTATATTCTTAAAATATATAACATTAATTATTTGATTGAATGTATGCAGTGATTTATCGTTTATAAGCTATTGCTATCACAACAATAGCTGCAATAGAAGGAAATATCGTATAGATCGTCAATTAATGTCGAACTGAAGATCTAATACTTGTCACTGAATGCAATTTACAGTGATTGATCATGCATTGATATTTAAATACTGTTACTAAGCGATGGATTACATTAATGGCCGTGAGCAAATATAAATACAACGAAACGTGCAAAAGTGGTACTGCTTGCTCTTATAATAACTTCATTAGGTTACCAAATAAGTATGAAGAAATAAGCTAAATCATCCAATTTAGATGTAGAAAGTAGCTTGATCTATAACTGTGGGGTTATAGTAAATTAGGTAGCAATGTTTCTTTTATCTTATTGAATATGGAGACTTATTGAACTTCTTAAACAGACAATTATCTCAGTAATAGCTTTAGTAACAGAAATGTATATTAAGAAGATGACTTATGCTGCAACCTTACAACAATATATAGCTTTACTATGTTTAAATTAATGTACTCGTATTTAAATATTGTTACAAACTATAGGTTATACATTTGGGATATATACCAATCACGAGATTCCAAATTTTAGAAAAATAAGGGCTTTATTGAATCTTATACAAAGATTAACTACACACAGCTCTACTCTAGCCGAATACTACTACTAAAGACTTCTAGAACGAACTAACAGAATAATCTAAAGTTGCATGCTTTTATACTTTTCGTAGCATTCGCAGCTACAATCCGCATGGCAACCTTTTACCTTATTTTACACATAGTTAAATTATTCTTAGTAAGACTATTCTACTGCGGACCAACATTAATCCAATATGGATACGACTACAGTACTTACGTAGACATTATTCACACCAGCCAAAGTACAATGAATTAACCATATCGTAATATATGATTTACAGTTCTATTTTTACCTATAGCCTTATTAGTAACTCAACACCTTACTGTATATAGTCATCTGTATTCTAGCATAGAGTCTCTACTACTACAGTCTATAGTTATAGCTACCAAATATTTCTTAGGATAAATATCTACCGTATATTATACTAAACATGGCTAACAGTCTACAATCACAATACTAGTTACATTACAACATTATAATCTTATAAGAAACCCCTGTAAAATCGCATGTGGCGATACTATACTGTAATATTTGAAAATGATCAATGAAATAACATATAGATACTAACTAAGCAATTATTTAAAAGCTTACCTTTACGATTTTACAGGGATAGTCACCAGCATACTTATCGCAGAAGATGTGGGATACTACTCTACAGGCTTAGTGTGAAAATAATTGAAGAGAAAGTATACTTTAGTTTCCTCTATGGAAATGTAACAAGGTAGCATTAGCATTTAAAAATAATGAGAAGAATTTTCAAAGCCTATCAATTTTCTGAAATATTAATTTTAGCTCGTAAACAATCAATTTTATTTTCTAAAAAATTATTAGTATCTGTCACAACGTCGTTTGCAACAATCGGATTCCCGTTCCACACTTATCCTACTCTCCTCTGTCCTACCGTAAAACTGCCACCAGGCGTCACTACTCGCTCCACTTCAGCGAAGGACCTCAGTCAACAGTAAAGGCGGACTAGAAGCGTCTGGATAAATTTACTAAACTAACTTTATTAGGTCTCCGTATTTTCCTCCTGCCTAGCGAGGTAAATTACAACCTCTTATATACTTGTATCAAATCTACACCTTTTCCACCTGTTAATTATTCTTATGTATAACTTAGTCTTTTCTATAACTTTGTAATCCTATTAATTACTATCGAACAAATATATGATAATTGATATTATTATGCGCTAATAATATTATAGCGCCAATTAACAATTTAAGATCTAACGGATTCCCTACAAGTGTGACAACCGCCATTTTGGTTATTACACGTCATTGGCATATTAAGTACCTTACTTCTACACATTCGTTAATGGAAGTCCATTAACGATTGAATCTCACAATATTAACAGATCATAATATTTATGATTATCTAATCGTAACCGTCTATTTCTTCTTCAATAACATTATCACATAATATCTTAAACCGTAACAGTATCATATTGAGGTATACTATTAAGGTTTAAAGGCGTTTTCTCTGCAGCCTGCTCGATATGATTAAATCTGGTACCGTAACGTATATTTTTATTCGCTTGAATTATAATTTTAAATAGGAAACGAATTAATGGCTATTTATTGATTGCATTCTGTTATGTACAGTATGGTATCTATTGTTTTACTTGAATAGAACTATTGCAATAGATTCAGTAATCAACTTTGGCTACATTTCGCATTGTATAACAAAAAGTAATGTAGGCTATTATTTTTAATAAGATAAAAGCATATCTTCTATATTTAGAATGCAGTTTCTAAAGCTTAATCATTCACAATTATAAAATTCATACCTCCTGTGGAATCCCAGTAAACCGGAGAAGATAACTTGCTATATTTTGGGTTATTCCATAAAAAATCATATATCTTGTTCGTCATCACTTGGGTTATACTTAGTTTTTGCGGCGAAAATATACATGCGACTTCGGTAGGTGAAGATCGTATTGCAAAGCGACTCTTCTTATTGAATTTTATCGGGTCCTTAATGAGATCGCACAGAAAATAAATGGTGGTTATGCTGTATATCGGCACTAGATAATTGTTGACAGTATGTAATTTTATTGAAAGCTTCTTTTATTACACTTATAGTAATAATACAACTTGAACATAAGGTTATATGATTGCAGACCGTAATTGCTTATTGTATAAACGGAAAGCAGATGAATTGAAAAATTGAGAACTTAATCTTTTGAGTAACTAAAGCGGCTGATACATGCATTATTATAAATTAATTATCTGCCTCATTTTCAGCTAGAGGTTAGTTTAATTCGTTCATTATTTAATTAATTTTGTCTATGTGTTAACCTGCAAGAGTAGCTTCAATAATAGTGCCAGCATACGCCTACAATCAATCCTTTTTAACTGATTCCAGTTCATCTGTTATGTTAAAACAAGTGTGCGAATGCGTAACTAAACTACTTGTTATTCGATTTAGTCATAAGTATTTCATTTATATTCCCATATGACAAGTCATATTTTCTGTTACTGTAGCAATCAGAAGATAATGGTTGCAAACTAAAAAGATTGTCGATTGGGGTTGTTAAAGTAATGCGGTTGCCTCTGCTTGCATTATATATGTATTAGGTAGTGGGTAATTATTTATGAATTAATAAATTCCGTAGCTTCACCATATTCGTATAGAATAGCAATAAGTTATGACTTAGCCTGTTTAATTAGCGTTTTTTTTAAAGACTGGTAGTATAATGGTTTACAATCATATACCCGTTCATCAACATTTTCTATATTTATATATTTCGTTTTACAGAGTTATGGAAATTGTTTTGCAAAGCATGGCATGCGATGAATTTGTATAGCAAAGGGAGATTAAGTTGAAAAGTAAATATCAATCAGGTGCTTATATTATAATTATAGTTCTGCATATAGAATAAAAGAGCACTATACAGTACCGTGCTGTACTTCTATCGATCAAAGGAGTCCAACATTAGCAAGATTCATCGACAAAATCGCTGCAACTAAAACGCAGCTTTTATGTCCTGTTGATCAACTTTGGTAGTAAATCATGTACATAGAGAGAATTGGCTTTGAAAACCCATTTCGCAGGATACTATGCCCATTTGTGAATGATATATCAAGCGATACGATGACAACTTGGGTTAGGTACGATGGTTTATACATCGTGAATATCTGGGCGTTGGTTTGAATAATGCATGATCGCTTCATTGTAGGTGTAAGTAAAAACATTTAAAGGAAAAATTAAACTAAACAATCTTACTGATAACATGTGCAGTAGAAGTGTGATTTACAATTTTAAGGTTAGCGATTAAATGAAAGTAACTTTAGGCTACTTATGACACGGTTACGATCGAAAAAAAAGGATGATTAATTTTTGTATGTCATGATTGATTTTGATTTGTGGCATGAAGAAGTTGAATAACAATCCTTGATTAAAAATATCGTATTTCCATCCCAAATGAAACGTGATACCATTCTCTCGAGTGTTGAAAATATCAGTTTAAAAATTTTCTAGTTTAAATTTCATGGCTTTTGAAGCTAGTCTAGAAATTAATCCATGGCCTAAAAAGCTCCAAAAATGATAAGAGGCTCACCCGTTATTGTCATGGCCCACATTTCCCGCGGAAATGATGGTGAAACAATAAGGGAAAAATAAGCTTTTCTATTGTTATATCGATTGTTATCTTTGTTATAGACAATAGTTTTTGATTACTGTGCAAGTACAGTGTCTGATTATGAAAGATAACGATCGAAAAACAATTTGGGCAAAACGTGATCATAATTAATTTAAACCTCTTCAACCGGTTTATTCTTGCACGCATTTAATTTGAAATATGAATAATGTCCACAGACGGTCTAGCCTAGTCCAGCCAGGCTTGAGAAAAAGGGATAACAAATTAGAATGTTGATATATCAACATCCATAGGCTGGTAGTCTGATTGGGAATGATGAACGTTTTGCCATTACACCTTTAACAACTGTAATGCATAAAACATGAGTCCCCAGTGAGAAAATAGAAATTATATGAACGTTTTAAAAGTGATTGCCGATCATAATAAGGCGTCAGTTTGGACACTGGAACCAATAGATTGAAATCATAATGATGGACAACGCTTTTGTATAAAGGATTAGTTACATAATTACGTCATCGGTACAGGATAAAAGGAGTTAGTTAACAGCTTAACGATATACAGAGACTATACATGAAACTGTATGTATAATTGTATTTTGTAGAATGAAGTAAATTTTAATGAAGAGAAGATTTATCGTCATTGCATAATGGATACAAGGTAGTGCAATCTAAAGCGGGAATGCTATGTAACCCTTAATTGGATAAGCATATTTCTGCAATCTAGCGGTTACAGCCTGAGCTTGATTAGAAATCTTACTATAATGGTATCAAGCTTACCTCTTGTATAGATAGAGAAATCAGGTTAATTCTTGTAATTTTTAGAGAATAATTAGGAACAATCATCAAACTATTTGATGGCAAAGATTTATAATAAAATGCTGCCAAATTTCTTTCGCTATCCGTTTCATAGTGGACATATGTAGGAGTAACAGGTTTCGCTAATTTGTTAAATTAAACAGAGAAGAACGCTATGATAAAATCGAATTTTATGTCAGTAAATAAGTGGATATGATTCTTGTTATTAAATATAAACGACGATCAGTTTACTTTTGTAACAAAACTACCGTAAGTCTTACGGTATGTATAATAGTGCAATATAGATCTCTTCAATTAATCTTTAGACGAAGTGCTACTGATGCTGATATTATCATAGAATATTATTAGATTCTAAAGTGAATGCAGTTGACTGTTGAATATAGTGTCTAGTAGAAGTGGACTTTCATAATGGCGAATTTCATCATTTTACGTGATGCTAAGCATTACTGACATTACTTTGACTTTCATTTATTCCTTAGTATCACTGATAAACTGTATAAGCAAACCGGCGGTCCTGATTATAATAAGCCAACAAGTACAAATATATTCGTACGGGTGATTAGTCTAAATTTTACACACCTATTTCAGGTATACCCCATGCAAAGCTTCGAAAAAGTCCATTCTTAACTTGTTTACTGTCTGCAGCTAAGTTTATATCAAGCTTTAAGCAGGTATCGATATTCGTAAGTTGGATGTTGTAAAAGAGATAGCCTTGTGAATTATTGTACTTGAAAGAACTTTGCACAGGAATGTCTTCAATCTCAATTTGACAGTTCTGTGTGTACCGGTACCATTTGAAATTTTGTTTTACACGGGATGCTACCATCTTTTCAGAGTAGTCACCCCTAAATGGGATAGCAATATTCATCGTTGTACCGGTTATCGTGGCGCTAGCTTCTCCAATACTGGGTGTCTTATTTCTGACATTTCCAATATTAGGATCTTCTTCTATGGATTAATCAGAAAGGATTCAGTTCACTTTAATTAGCAACATGATTATCAACAATCGTGCCCAGCAATGGTTCATAATGAATACTGTGAAAGGAATGGCGTTATTGAATTTGTGCAATCTACATACGTGGTAACAGTAACAGAAGACTAATTAGGAGAATGAAGACCATTACTGACAGAATTTATAGTGGATCAAAACGATCTGTAACATACAACCTTCACTAACATAGATAACTTAAGGCTCAGTGAAAATATTGAAGGACGCGACGATCATTTAACTACTTAGTATGAATTTATTACAATTCTAGCGCGATAGATATTAGACTGACTAACAAATAATACAGCGCAAAGCTTTCTAATGCCACTAATAGTCGATCAATTTTATTCTACTCTACGGTAATATACTAGCATAAGGAGAAAATCTTTCAAATAAAATTTATCAACTGGTATTTATACACTATTCTACTTACCTGATGGAAGAATTACAGGAGCTACATGCCTTATCGTTAAAGTAATTACGAGCAAGCTGATGGAGATAGAACTAAACTTCATTATCCTTTCTAATTGCTGATAGCCTAAAATGGAATAGACAATATGAGTCCAGTCAAATGATGTTGTGATTGATATTTAGACTAATGGAGGAGAATGAAAAAGACACGTCGAGCTATTTTAGGCTACTTGAATGTTTTTTGTATTTACAGTAGATGGCAATAAATGACAGTTCCTGGTGATTTGCTATTCAAGAGCCAACAATATCATATCGGTAATACATTGAAGGCCCTGCTACATTTACTATTGTTCAGGTTTATTATAAAGACGAAAGGAAATGCTACTGGTTTTGACTGAATTTCGATAATATTTGAACCAATGACAGTATATAGTGTACGTATATTGCATATTGACATAATTACTCAGATACACTTTATAGTTTTGCTCTACCCCTTGGGCAATAGCGTTAGGTTAAAAGGGTTAAAGCTATCAGTGAGCAATTGCTAATATCATCAAGATGATTAATTGTAGGGAAATACTATTTCAATACGATGATCATCATCATCTAGCATGAGCTATCATTTAAGTTGGCGATGAACTAATCGATTCAAAATGAGCAAATGGTAGAAAAATGAGGTTGAGATTTTATTATTTCCAAATGTTCAATTGCTAGTCAATTAATGCGAAGTCTTTGGTTTTGGGATAAATTATGCTATGGTAAATAGTTCGATTCGTTACTTTGAGCTATATTAAGGAGTCGTATTCAATTTTGGAAATAAAGTAGGTATAATTACTAGCAAGAAAACTAGCCCAATTTTCGACCTTAGGTTATAAAAGAGAGAGGAAATGTCGATATCTTGCTGAGGAAGGTTATAAATTGCATTGTTTGGCCTTTAAACTAGGGTTGTCTACGAGTCTTTTGATTGAAGCCGATTCCACTATAATTATATCATTTGTATTTTTCATCGTTAATAATTCAAACTTGAATTAATTTCTACCATTTCCGCTTATCGAACTA